GGTGATCTAGGGTATTTTGGCGCTGGCGCCTGTGACACGGGTGCGAGGAGGTTTCGTGCCGAGCGGATGTGATAATCATGTTCAGATGGGCAGACTACCCTAGTAGGCAACTTTTCAGCCAATTCTGCTCACGAAGAAAAAAGTCGGACAAAAACTGGCCTGCTTTCGGGTGATTTGGGCAGTAAAGGGTAAACACTGCCTAAAACTCTTCAAAGGCGAAGCAGAATTGCCGGCAATTGAGTCTTTTTCTGCTGCAAGTAAGAGCAAGGTTGACAAAGAGTATTTTCTGAACTCGCAGAAGATGTTCCGAAAAAATGCAAAAATCCGAACCTGTCAAGGAATCGAACCCATGACCTCCCGCCTATGAAGCAACTTACCTATCCACTACACCATCGACCACTTGAGACTGTCTGTACTCGAACTTAACTTGAGCTACGCAAAGGAGGATCGGCGAGTGCTATGCTAAAACCCACCCCCCCCCTAACTCCTCATAGAGAATCGTTCGGCAAATTTTGGAAGCAGATTTGAGTTCAGCGTCCCAAGACCTACACGTCGATATGCATCTCATCTTGAATGGCCATGGCGACCTGTTGACCTTCCCTGGTGAGATTAGCTCATGTATGTTCCGTACATTTTGCCCCATGCCTTACCTATCCTCCACTTGACCCGGACTCTTGAAGTGGATTTTTAGGTAACACTGAGTTTCCGGACTGACAGACACGTAGACGTAGCAAAGTATACATAGGACGGATTCTTCAGTTGTTTCTTACGTGTAGCTGTTCTGATTTCTTGAACTTTTTCTAACAGAGCCATCCACTGTAAGATTCGCTCATCGCCTCATCTCATTATCTTCTGTTCGTACTAACAGATAGGTCATTAGACGATTACGGCAGCTTATAACTATGTCGTATTAGTACAGCTTAGGAGTGATGACGATACAGAAGCCAAGCAACGCATACGCAGACGAAGACTTTGTTGCTCGTATACTTCACTGCATTCAAGTCCTTTTTTCTGTTCAGTAAATGCAAGTTAGCAGTTGTATTCTGAAACACTTCCTCGTTTGAGTTCATTAATACTATTTTCACTTTGAATTCACCACTTTTCAAATCAAGTCACTCTTCTTAGACCGGGCAGTTCACCAACCAGATCACGCCAGACACCACTGCGAGCCCCGCCCCGACGACCACGCCTACTTGCGACATAGATTTTCAACACATTCACATGGCCGACTCCGCCCATTCTTCAAAGGGTTTGTTGCGAACTTCGAAATTTCATAACTTTTTCAACTTTTTAATTTCACATCCACTCTTTGCACAAGCGAAGGCACTCGTACCCGCGCACTTATGAACTGACAGCTTAGGCCCCTTGGCCACGCCCACTTGCTTTTTGCAGAATTTTGATATTTTTTTAATTTTGCATTTTTGGACTGCTCCATGAAGCCCCGCCCACTGTGAGAGGCTCCGCCCACTTCGAAGAAGCCCCGCCCACTTTTCAAAAATGGTGCAAATTGGCAGTGTAGAGTTGTGGCTCGCATGCTAGGGTCTCGTCCGTCACTCGGAACAAACTTTGCCTTTATTTGTTCCGAGTGACGGACGAGACCCTAGCATGCAAGCCAAGCTCTATACTGCCGATTTGCACCATTTTTGAAAAGTGGGCGGGGCTTCTTCAAAGTGGGCGGAGCCTCTCACAGTGGGCGGGGCTTCATGGAGCAGTTCAATATTGCAAAATATCAAAATTCCGTAAAGAGCGAGTGCGCGGGTACGAGTATCTTCGTTGTGCAAAGAGTGGATGTGAAATCAAAAAGTTGAAAAAGTTATGAAATTTCGAAGTTCGCAACAAACCCTTTGAAGAATGGGCGGAGTCGGCCATGTGTGTGTTGAAAATCTATGTCCGCGCTGACAAGTAGGCGTGGCCGTCGGGGCGGGGCTCGCAGTGGTGTCTGGCGTGATCTGGTTGGTGAACTGCCCGGTCTAAAAAGAGTGGTGAATTTGGTTTGAAAAGTGGTGAATTTGGTTTGAAAAGTGGTGGTTCAAAGTGAAAATGGTATACCTTAATTATTTTGTACAGTGTCAGTCGCCAATATCAACGGACATGGGATCCATTAAGCATCATGACAGTAGGATACATCACACAACGCTGGGATGGTCCTCAGTGTTGACCGATAAGATGTTCAGTGAGGCCGAGAGCCTAGTTCATATCTAGGACTTGCGTTGGAGCTATGCAAAAAGGGCGCTGTTCGGTTTGGAGCGGGCCTTTTGCACTTTTGCTAGTTCCTTTTGTTGTCTCATGTTGACTAACCGTTGACTTTAGTCAGACCTGTGAATTCCTGTGAAGCTTTCCCTGTTGTTTGAGTGATCCACTTTGATCACAGGAGCTCACAAGTCTCCAGAAAGTGACCTGTACAAGCTTATCAGTAGCTGATCACCATTCGTTGTCCCCACCAAACCGATCTGCGTCAGAAGCTTTCTGTTCAAGAGTGTTGGGTGTCAAATTCCTGTAGGGTGGACTTGAGCAACGGTTTGGTGCAGGGCCCACCACGTAAGAAACCATTTCGATCAAGACCTTTTTGTAACTGTTCCTACGGAATCAAAGCTTATTTTTTTAGAAAATGCTCTCTGAGTAAGATTACAGGAATTTTCACTTTTTGGAAATTAGGGTATCGCTTCTGGATACAAAATCCAGACGCAGTTGGGTGACAGAAAGCATTTTGCACCTACAATTTAAAGTCTCACTCTTGTGAAACCTGTGTTCTCTTGTAAAGCTGCAGAAAGCTCGTCGATGTACTGTGGTGAATATTACTCGTATGGTATTTCATTGTTTCACAAGAGTCAAGAGATACTCTTTGCGAGAGTTGACAGCTGGAGTCTACATTTGGCTGGTAATATTTCATGGCTTCACAAGATTTCACAGGTCTCCATTTGATGGCTCGACAAGTCGACGGGATGTTGCAAAAGAGCAAACCATCCCCCGCGTCTCCTCCGAAGTGCGCCCAAAATCTATCCTTCAGTCATGTCTCTTGTATCCTTTTCTATTAGGTTGTCCGGAAAGTTCTCAGCGTTTTGAGTGTTTCACTTTAAACGATCATAACTTTCTTAATACTCATCGGATTCAATCGAAATAAGGCACCGTTCGAATCAGCACACTTTTGCCAATGTGACACCAGTCGATAAATCCCATCAAAGAAAAAACTGGGTGGTCGAGAATCCACGAAATCCACGAAGGCTTTTTTGCCTGGTCCTGATTGATGAAGTTTCCAGCAAGGGAGTTCTGAAAATGTTTGAAAAGGTGATAGTCGATTGGCGAAAGGTCTGAAGAATATGGCGGTTGAGGTAGAACTTCAACCCCAATTCGTTCAATTTATGGATAGTGATTTGTGAAACGTGTGGGGCGTTGTCATGCAAAAGAATCGGACCCTTTCTGTTGACAAGTGCTGGCTGCAGCTGACGCAATTTTCGGTACATTTCGTCGATTTCTTCACAGTAGGACTCTGCTGTGATGGGGGCGCGGCTTTTTTGGCCTCGGGTCGCACTAGCCTTCGCTGTACCAAAACGTCTAATAGTGGCATCCACACGCCCAGCCGATGACCACCACAGTTGTAACATACATCTTTTTTTCGTGAGGATGTCGCTCTAGAAAATGGCCTCGGTGGCTCTCCGTGTTATCCAATGATCCACTTTTTCATCACAGGTGACAATGGACCGGCCATCAGCGTGGACCCGTCAAAAAGGGTCGTTCTGTTGCGCCAAAGCAGTGAAGAACAAGCCTCCGTCATGGCAGTGCCAATGCTCCTGCCTCCGACTGCGGATTGACCCAATTTGTAGTTGAAGAAAAATATCGTCCGAAGTTGCTCTTTTGACATGCTTCAAAAAGTCTTGGGAAAAGGGGGTTTATCAAGCAATGGTGAAACGGCAATTATACCATCAGATAGCGCAAAAATTCTCTTCAGGATGTACTACTGAGACGCAAGGGAGAATGAGTTTTTAATCAGCAATGAATGTACAAAAATAGTAACACAAAACGCTGAGAACTTTCCGGACAACCTAATATGTAGCAATACGAATACTAATTCTGATATCTTACTACAAAGTCACCGTTTTCCTTTGCCTATTGCGTTCATTCGAGATGTGTTAGGTGATTAGTTCATGATTTCCCGCTCATGTATCATGCAAATTTCCGATCGTGAATGCATTTTCGTTCCTCTAGATGTTGCGTATGATAAGAAATCGCCGCTTGGAGCAGTTGTCCGGCTGTGGCGATGGATTTATTGAAAAGTCGACATCACTAGATGACGTTTCTCGAAAGCCTCGTGTACAGTACGAAGATCATTTATTCATCGGTCGAACAGTGAGCGACCGACGACTGTCACGACAGGATGAATCGCCGCCGAAGAAACCAAAACCACGTCGAAATTTCTTTCGTAAACCAAGTGACGAGCGACGATCGGGCTCAGCTCCTGCTATATTGAGAAGATGCAAGGAAGGTTGTGGTCCTAATCTTCTACAAAAAATAGGTTTTGAAGAGTAAAATGGAAATTTCGTTCGCTTTTACTATACATCTATGGATATCTATGGGTTCAATCGAACTACCCCCACAATCCCGGATGGAGAGGGCTTGGCTGCGTACTCCATAGAGACATTACGTAGGAAGTCTCTTGGGCTATTGCTATTCAAGAAAGCTGTCATCCTGTATTGTGCTGGGCAAAGAAATATTTACAATTGTTACGGACCAAAAGTATTCCACTGAAAGCGCGTACGAGTGAAGAACACGACCGCGCCCGCCTCTCTTCATCCGATATGGAGTGTTTGTGGGTGGCTACAACACTTTGGAACAACAAAACGCCATACTTTCAGCAATACTCTAAGCTCTACTTAGCGGGTGCTTTAGTGGTGCCTATTTCAAATTTTGATGTTATAGTCTGATAATAAAAAAATGTTAATTAATTGTTAAAAATGTTAATTTGCTGAATTGGCGCGTAAAATTCATGATACACTTCTATCTAGATGTTGGAGGGCGAGTGTTCACGCGATTTCATCGGCGTGGCGAATGGCGCCGGTAGGTGATCAGGTCCCAGCAGAAGGAATAAGAAATTATGGGGCGCATAAAGATGAATGGGCTGGCTACAACGAGCTGTCACAACGACGCAAATCCACGCGCCTATCGCTTTTCTCGGCCTGGCTAGGCAACTGTACCTAGATACAGCCGCCGTCTTACTCACCATTATGCCAGTGGACCCTCCTCCATCCATATGGACTTTGTAGAGGCGAGACGTCTGACACGAAGCACAGACGTTGTTTTACATGAAATAATGAAGAAGGTAAAAAGTTAATTCAAACAGAGGAAAAGCGGCTGGTGGCAATATTTTTGCAGAGTTCTCCGGTCCTAAGTCCGCACTGATTAAATGGGCGGGGACAGCTAATCATTGCACCTCTCTCAGTGTCTTCCTTCCATGAGGAGGAATAACAAACGAGGAAAGCTCAGTGGTCGACTGTCCTCACCTTTAAAGATGTTGAATTTGTTCCTTTTGGTATTGGTATTGATTCGATTCCACTGGGGTCAAAGCTGACGAATAGAGGGAAGATTACAGCTAGGTAGTTGGTAAATTTTGGGGCTTTCAAAATCACACTTTTTCGACTAATACCGATTGGAATATGAGGCTATTCACAAGGAGCCCAGATGATTGACCGTTGGACAATTCCTGCAATTGCAATAGCAATTCCGTAGATTAAGTTGAGGCTGGTGAAGGATAGAGCGGAGGATGGAGATAGTTGATTGCTCCTGCTTTTTTTTAATCCTTTCAATCTTGCTGGTCAAGTTGAGTAAGATGCGGTTTGGAAATCCGATCCACAAATCATGTGTGGCTCGGAGGCGGTCCTAAGAAAATCGAAGGGGAAATGAGAAAGGAGAAATTGAAAGGAGTTTTCTCCACTCAGAGATAAATCGAAGACTTTGCAGGCTTGTTCAAGTTCCGTCAAAACCGCCGATCAAAGAAGTCCATCTCAGAGACGGTGAACGCCCCGACGGAAAAGTCAGATGTTATCAGGTAACGATGTTTCCGCTTTGAATGATTTGCTAAAGTTTATTATGGCCTCTTTCATAAACGATTTCAACTACATATGTTTTGTGGTAATCATTGATCCTTTTTGCCGTATTTTGCGAAGCGAAAGTCATTGGACGAATGCATTGTCTTCACATAATCATAAGAAAATCTCAGTCCTAACTCTTACCAAGCCTTCTGAGCTTGAGGTCCAGGTTCCATCCCTGACTAGGACGCCACCACCCAAATTATTGTGGTTCCCAACTATGTTTTTTGGGAAAAAAGTCTTGAAGCACGTTTTGCACGATAAATCGCTTCTAAGCAGGACGTAGGATTTACACGAACTGGCTGTAAGAGAATTCCATGACCTCGAACCAAGGCGCTATGCGTGAGCTTTTCAAGGAGGCACACCCGCTATAACGCCTCAGTCGATCGACGCAAATTCGCCTTCCAAACGCCTTCGCTCGCAACAGGTCCCGCTCACTAAACGGCACGCGTCCTGACACTCATATTGCTGGGCAAATTATGAAGCGAAGGGATGGTATGAAGCGGCCGTGATGCTGCATGCATATATGGGTACACATATGCAGCCGTATCTTCGGTAGCGGTGATTGGCAAGATGCCTATGGGAAACTCGTCCCGAAATCGATTTTTTCAAAGCCACTGAGAACGGAGGCCTTTTCCTCGCCGGATTTTCGTGTTCACTCCTATCTCGCTGAATCCATTTTTTCCACCACAGTAGCTCCCTACTGAGCATTTGAGGCGAATGGGGAAACCATCGTGCGTCAACTGCTCGCTGTAAAGAACAATTTGTGGAGGTGTTGAAACGCCTTCTAGAGCCATTGCCGTTAGATGCAACGACATCCGACATCCTAACAGGGCACGTTCTGCAGTGGGGGGGGGGGGTGAATTTCTGGAAAAAACTACCCTCCCTTTCTTGGAACATTCCTCCACTGGGTACGCCGCCCCCCCCCATCTCGATCCCCCATCGTACCTACCATCTCCCAAATGCTCCCAATTCACTCCGGGTAGTTCTCCAGAGAATTTTTTCCCAGAAGTTTTGAGTTTTTCCTCTTAAAAAGCTGCGTCACGCAGGGGCAAGGTATACGCTACGGAAAAAATCGAGTAAATTCACAATTCAACAATCGGAAACGTTTTCAACAAACTTCGCTTTACCCCTTCCTCGGGCGACCAAACACAGCCTCCATCGGTTTAGATCCCAACACATGCCTTGGTCATAAGGCGCTAATGTCAAAAGATCTCTTGTTTCTGTATAATTCTTTTCTTCTCCGAATTTCACTTACTAACGCTTGAAACTTACTATCTGTTCTTAATAGCAGTAGAACTAAAATTAGTAGAGATCCGAAGTAGTAGAATTTCTGGAACGCTGCATTTCCGTTACCCAGAGGAGGCCGTCATTTGACATTTTATCCACAGTAATTCGCATTCTCTATTGTTGCGAATCATGGGCTAAGCTTGATATTGTCCAGCACAGAATGCCCTTGTGGGTTCACTCCAAGGCTTTGTGGTTGCAATGTTTCTTATCAGTGCCATCTCAGCTCTTTTCTTGTGTGTCTTCTCGGTGTTTCCATTACAGCTTCGGACCAACCAGATCCCATTGATATGACTCACTTTTTACAAGGACATTGATTTTTCAACTTTCCCTCATTTTTTTATGTGCTAGCAGTAATTGCTGCACACTTTTTAGAAGTTGTCTCTTCGAACGGAATAGATAGCGCAGTCGGAATGGCCATAAATATTTTTAAGATGCGCTACACATATGTGCACCTTTATAC